AAAAAGTTAATATTGCCCTAGGTTTATACAGCTATTTCTAGAAATGCCATCTTCAGGAAGAAAAATTTTAAACTTTTATTAATTCGATGCTTCTGAACATCATAAAATAAATGAACATAAAATATCATTTTGGTTAGCTTGGAAGGTGAGAGAAATTCCGTGGATGTGCACATCACAGCAAAAGTATGTACTTTAGACAGATACTGTAAATTCCGTGTTAGCTTAATGGTTATAAATGTACTTGAGCAACAGTGAAACGTTTTACATTTCTAGTCTGCACACTTTATATTTTATCTGAAATGCCCAACACATCACGAAAATAAAGTAGCAGAAATGCACTCGAGGGTAGGAACGATGGCACCTATCACACAGACATCGGACGTTTCCCTTAGGACACGTCGCCTCTTTTCTTCTGCAGAGCTTTCATCAGATCCGACATGAAATCCTGCTCCGCGCCTGCTCCCGCGCCGGGTGGTCCCGGGTTCTCCTGCCTCTTTGGGGGAATCGGAGGCCTTTTGGCAACAACGCGGGGTGGCCTCTCGGATTCGGATTCGGGGGCGAGGGTGGGTGGGGGTGGAGGAGGGGGCGGTAATGACCCTGCATCCCCAGCAAACAAAGGGGGAGGAGGAGGCACGAAGTCTGGTGGCCCTTCGTTAAAATCCGGGGGTGGTGGTGGCAGCTCTTCGTCTCCCATGGGTGGGGGCGGCGGGGGCGGTGGCAGAAAGTCATCGGGTGGGGCTGGAAAGCCCATGCCCTTGGCCTTGGGGGGTATCACTGGGCTGCCACTGCTGTCTGAGGACCGTCGCACGGGAGGGGGCGGTGGCAGGCTGGACTTCGGAGGGTGATGGGCCCTGGGCGGGCCTGCGTCCTGGTTAGCAGGGACTGGCTTCTTGTCCTTCAACAACAAAGCAACAACAGCATTAGTCTTGGCACACAGCCCCCGTGGGATGACATTTCCGTTAACGTGTGAGTTCTAGGCAGTGTAGCTCCGCCGGGAGCCCTGAGACTGCAAGGCTCTTCCTGAGCTTATCTTTGTTCCGGGGCCGGAGAACCACTCAAAAGGCCTTCAACACTAATACACGGAGCACTGGTCTACCATGTGTCCTCTAAACGGAAGACAGCCCTATTCAAGCAGTTGCATATTATGTTTAGACTGTGTGTGTATCGCCTCAGAATCTCTGTTACCTTTAACAGAGCTTTAGTGGGATAGAGTTTAGCTAGTGGAAATGTTGCTTGAGGAACTCAAAATGGAAGTGAACTGGCTCTCCTGGAATTCCCACGTAGCCCTGGTTCCCAAGGAAAGCCCCCGGAGCGACAGGCATATCCAACAACATTTCTCTTGGTTTGTGTTGAGCTGGCTGTGAAACTTAGTTGTCAAGAGCAGGTGTCTGCTTGCGCTGGTACCACACCCTCACTGGCAGAGAGGTGGTTAAGGAGCGTCCCCAAACCCTCCCCAAATCTCAAATGCCTTACTGTGATTAGCACCAAGAAGGTGGAAGGGAAAAAGAAAACCAGAGTGGTTTTCTCTGGGCTACAGGCAACCTTTGTGCAAGCCACAGCGTAAGGGCCGTCTGTCCTGCCTGAGTGCCTCCCTGCTTGCACGGGGAGCAAAGGTGCTTTTCCCCAGCACCTCTGGTGGCTCCTGGGGGAGGCCCACAATGCGCTGTGTGCTCTCTGACAAAACAGCTTCAGGGGAGGTGGTGGGTGGGTGGAACAGTCGTGAGGATTGGCCATTTCTTAGCTATACGAAAGCCAGCTGGCTAGTTGTAATCATCTATGTCTCAAGGTTATGATGAGATCAAATGAGATAAATGTAAGTGGTTCCAAAGAGGAAAAGCTTGTGTTACTGGTAGAAAACAGAAAACCAAACTTGGCCAAAGGTCAACAAAAGTGTAGTTCTTCTGCCAACAGTAGAATAGATCATAATAAATTATATTTATATAATGCAAATTCCCGGCAGCCGAATTGAATCCCTCTTTTTTACTGAAAGTTATTATTGAAACTTACATTTTATGAGGTTTCCATTTTATTTTTCTTTGCCTAATAACTTCTTCCCACTAAAGATTCCATTTAGAAGATTTTTTTCCTCTATGAAAGTGCCTTATGATAAAGTTTCTATTTTATTTAGTTTATTTGCTTAACATATGCTAATTTACTGGTGATATATTTAAAAAAATTTTGTGAACAGGCAGTTGGGGAATAGGTATTCACACATAGTTAAATGATTTCTATTCTGGAATCCTTTTGATCGCTCTCAGCATTTTAAAATGTGTGTCTTCATCTGGCATCACAGAAATCATGAAAATAATAAAGCATGATGAGAGTGCCAGAAACACAAATTTTTTTCAAAATCATTTTTTTCTTTTATTGATTTGAGGAGAGGGGAAGGGAGGGAGAAAGACAAGGAGAGAAACACTGATGTGAGAGAGAAACATCGACTGAACCTGCAACCCAGGTACAGGCTCTGATGGGGAATTGAACCAGCGACATTTCTATCTGCAGGATGACACCCACCGGACTGAGCCACACCAACCAGGGCAGAAACACAACTGTTAATAGTTTACGGTGGTTTCCAAAAATTATAAGACATTCAACAAATATAAGACTTAGCTGTTTCCACCACTGGCTGATGGACGAAATGAAAGATGGAAATGAAGTGAAAAATTTCCGAAGGTACAATTATTTAAGGTTGTTTTGAACCACACATGGAAAATATTCAAGGAAACTTGTGGAGTAAACTGAAATGTTACCAATTGGGTTAGTAACTAAATTATAGCTATTAGTTTCAGGTGGTGTGGCCCAGTAGATTGAGTGCGGCCTGCAAACCAAAGGGTCACCGGTTCCATTCCCAGTCAGGGCTCATGCCTAGGTTGTGGGCCAGGTACCCAGTAGGGGGTGTGAGAGAGGCAACCAATCTGTTTCTCTCCCTCTCTTTACCCCTCCTTTCCCCTCTCTCTCAAAATAAATAACATCTTAAAAAAATAAATTATAGCTTTTAGCTATAGATTTTATTTTATTTTTTTAAATTTATTTATTTTTCGAGAGAGGGGAAGGGAAGGAGAAAGAGTCGGAGAGAAATATCAATGTATGGTTGCCTCTTATGCATCCCCTGCTGGGAACTAGCCTGCAACCCAGGCATGTGCCCTGACTGGGAATCGAACCACGATCCTCTGGTTCACAGGCCCGTGCTCAATCCACTGAGCTACACCAGCCAGGGCTTTTAGCTATAGATCTGAGATAGATTTAAGTGAATCTTCATTAATCTCTTCTACCAAGAAAGGAGTTACAGAGAATGTTATACCAATTTAGCTATGATTTTAAAATGTGTTTTCTTCTCCATCACCCTAAAGATGTATGGAGAACATGAACAGAAAATATAAAATGCACATTTGATAGTGGAATCCTTTTAGCAGTGGTCCTCTAATCTGGTTCTGTGGCTCAGTGAGCATTTACTGTAGGGCTTCTGACTAACTGTTGCTCTGATTTGTTTAAAAAAAAGATAAGTAGAGATCCCAAGGGCTTCAAACTCAGAGCCACTTTCAGAGTGCTAAACCCACTTGACCAAACCAATGAAATCACTCCAGTCCAACACAATCAATGAAGCTAAATTGTAAATAGTTACCAATCTTCAGAATTAAACATCTTACATTTTCCCAAAGTGGTGTGATAACAGTTGGTTTTAACTTTCCATTCTAGCCTGTGTAATTTTAAGAAGATAAAAGCAATGACCTAAATGAAGTAAGAGTGACTGAGTTGCTGGAACCGTGCTTGCCCTTTTTACAAGAGCAGTTACTAGAGCGCTGCTAACGGTTTAGCACATGGGTTTGCAGGTGAGAGTCTGATAGGGCTGCGTCGGTTACCGTCTGGCCTACCTTAGTGGTGTCCACGTGTCCCTGGGCTTCTTGGAGGACAGCGCTCACGTGGTGTGCGGCCTGGGGAATCTGACCGTTGGCCTGGGCGGGGCCTGTTTTAAGTCCTGAGAGGGAGGAAGAGAGACAAGAAGTGGGGACACTTCAACATTCTTGGAAGTTCATCAGAGAATACAAAGCAGTTTCTCCAGTGCAAAAGGAACGGACTCCTGGGCACAGTATGGTTAACTGGGGGCTTTATGAAAAATTTGAGACTTGTTATGTCCGGACTTTGTGAGGTTCAGCAAATGGTTCAGGAAAGTGGATGCTTTATACAGGCTACATACGAAATCTGGATTAACTGAGGGGTTAGAGAATAGTATGATTTGTTCTCAAACAGTTTTTGGTCATTGGAGGGTAAACCTTGAAACCTCTTTAAAAAATTCCTGTTGTTGAAATACATTTGGTTTCATACCCTGCTGTGTACAGGAACAACTAACGTTATCCTCAGCACAAACTACTTTGGGCACAAAAATAGTAGAGAGATTTGAGCAAAATGTGCAACTTTCACCAAAATGCAGTCCCTGTCCCCCTCTGCTATTCTTAACCCACAAGGTTTGTGAAGGGCCGATCCCAGCACTCAACCTGGCAAATCAGAAGGTGGCATCATCTTGGGTAAAGCCAGATGGCTTAGGAATGGGCATGAAACAGAGCCCTTCCCGGGGCCTTTTCAGAGATAGGAATCTTTGAACTAAGATTTTTGCTGTGTGAAAAACTAAGCCTGGAGAGTCAGTGGCAGTCCTTGCCACCTCATGGGGACAGTGCCTACGAAAGAAACAAGGTCTTGATGAAATCCTGTAGTGCCCTTGGATCCTGTAGTGCCCTTGGATTTCCCTGACCTTGGACTTGCCAGTTTTGTGTGTTAATAAATCTCTCCCCCTCATTTTTTTGTTGCCTAAACTATATTGACTTAGATATCTGTTATTTGCTTTATAGAGTCCTGATTAAAAATAGTTGCTAAAGTCATTTAATAAGTACTAAAAAAGCCTCCACAGCTGTTGCCTAATATGGAAAAAGACTGTCATTTATCAAGAATCAATTACTTGTTGTTAAGCACTCTGGGTGTAGAACAATGCCTCTGTGTTTTTCCAGTTAGGTGACCAGAGCAAAAACATGTGGATCCCATGCAGTTGATGCCTCCCAGCCAGTGACCTTGCTGGTGCCCGTGGTATGTTTCTCCAGGGCTCTGGCTCAACTGTGTAAGGAAGAGGGGACCAGAAAAGAGGAAGGGGAGGAGGTAGGCAGAAAGGGATTCCCGATTCCCAGAGAAAAGGAGCCAGCTAAAGCTGGGGAGGCATCAGACAGAAGGTACCCGCGCTTACTGCCTCCAGTCCACTCGAGTGATTCCACAGCATGTTCTCCCCAGATGTGGCTAGTGCCAGCCCTCAGCCTCGGTCCTTGTTCTGAGCTACCCTCCGTGGTTCTGAGGCCCAGGGGATCACTTGCCTGTGAGGGAAGCCCACTCTGCAGGCCAGTGACTGAGGGAGGCAGTTGTTGGGTAAAGAGGGGGGTTCCCTGACTAGTGCTCCAAACAGGGTGAGGTTCAAGTAAGTGCAGTCAGCTAGTGAGTCCTCTGACCCTTGGGAACATTTTTAAAACACTATTCTTGAAGTTCACCTTCACAGCTTTTCGTGGGAGGAGGGGGTGTTGGAAGGAGCACATAGTTGATTTGTACTAGGCCCTTTGGATTGACATGAGTCCCTAAAACATTCTCTGAGGGCCCTACTGATTTTGTGTGATGAGTTGAGGTGAAGAAAGAGGCTTCGATAACAGTGTTTGGCAAGAACTGAACTTTAAAAGACGGTGTCATTTCAAACAGGTCTTTGGTGCTGAGATGCAATCACGGTCATCATGTGTGCATATGTGTGTGTCTACTGAGAAGAATGAACTTCACCTTCTATTTGAAAGTGGCTTTACTTCCTTCTAAACTCATCTTCAGTTTCTTCCATGCTGGTCAGTAATGTAGAACTTAAAGCCCTATACAGCCAGCATTGATGGCAATCAATTGTAAGAATAAGCTAGAAAATTTAAATTCTAAGAATAAGAGAAAGTTTAAATTGAGGACTTTTTCCTGTTTAGATGCTCACAGAAGCATTGTATTAATAAGCAGGATGGCTCCCAGTATGGTTTATTTTTGAAATCTCAGCTATATTCTCGGATTCTATAGCAGCACCGACATGGGTCAATTTACCATCAACTAAAGGATATTCCATTGTGTACAAGATCCACCTTTTAAATCAATGGAAATCTCATCTGAGTGATACAATCATATTCTTCAGAAATTGGTTTTAAGAAATCATCTAGAAGGAACGGAACTACCATCAGTGTGCGTTTAGTATTAGTGACAACAACTACGTTAGTTTACTTAATCTTCAGAGACACTCTATAAGGGATACATCATTTGTGGTCCCAGCCATCTTCGAATTCCAGCTGAGCATTTATTACCTGCAAGGCATTGCACTCGGTGCTGGGGAAACCACTATGTACAGTACATAATGGTCTCTGACCTCATGATTTCCATCAGAATCTAAGTGAATAATCAATCACAAAGGACAATTTGAGACCTGAGGAATGTAGGGATATAGCGTCTGTAAAATCTCTGAACAAGGCTGGTGCTGGGGGCTTTGCAGAACTGGGAAAAAGCAAATGGTACATGTGGTATGAACAGGAAGAGAAGAGTGGAGAAAGAGGTGAGAGAGATGGCAAACCCATATTATGCAGCTAAAGATTTTAGACTTTATCTCAGAGCTGCCTTTGTTAGGAGGTAAGAGTGGCCTCGGCCAGGATGGGTGCGCATGCAGCAAGTTGTTGGGTTTCGTGGTGGGAAGTAAAAAGAGGCCTCTTTTGATGGTTCCATTTTCTCTGATGAGAGTAAAGGAGTTGCAGGTTGGAAGTGTGAGGAGTGTGAAGAACATGTAAAACATTTAGGGAAACTAGAAGATTTTGTTGACCGGAGCATGTCTCTTCAACGTCACTGACATTTGGGACTAGAAAATTCTTTGTGTGTGAGTTGTCTTAGGCCTTGTAGGACAGGCAGCATCCCTGCCCTCCACCCATTAGATGACACTAGCATCCCCCAAGAGTGGTAGCCGAAATGTCCTCAGACATTGCCAATGTTCTCTGGGGGTCAGAGCCCAGAGAAACCGCCTAGAGAAGCATAGTAAGATGGGCAGGCAGTGTTAGCGCCCATTTGTGGCTGATGTCCACAAGTCTGTGGTGGACTCAGTGTCTATCGCATGCGGAGCCCTCTAGGAGGAAAGGCTGTCTCAGGCCCTGTCCCCACCCAGAGACGTCTTGCTCCTCCTGCCCCCGTGTTCTCACCCTCTGCATTTACTAGGTTAACAGTGGGCAGCAACTCTGTGGGTCAAAGACAGCCATTTTCTCTCCTCCTTTCTTCATCCCATCCACCTTCGTTGCTCGCTTCTCTTCTTCCTCTTTTTCTTTAAATGACTGGTGTTGCAGTGCCTCCGACTTACTGAGACTTAGGGAGGAGGGACGTCCATTCCAGGCTTTGAGTTTAAACCACAAGCCCTAGTTCATTCTTCCAGAGAACCTTGAGTGAGGAATTACGTTCACTAGCCCAGCTAATCAAAATGCAGAATTCTACTTTTGTGTTCCCGGAGCATGTAACTCTTTTTCGTGGGAACTTGCCTAGGAGGGACGCCTGTAGTTGGACACGGGACCTGCGGGGCCTATCCTAACAGCATCTCCTAACATCCCAGATACCCCGTGACCGCTGACATAAGCCCACAGTGGGCAGACCTAAGGCCCTGGCAGGGAGACTACTCCACCTCCATCCCAAGCAGGACTTGGGTGCAAGTCAAAAGTGGAATAAATTCAACTCTGAGAGAACCACCCGGTGCTGGCATCAGACTCTGCAGGTTTGAGGGCTCGGCTTCCACAAGGGCTCAGACTCACAGTCACACGAACTTCTGACCAGCTCTCTACAAGTTCAGGGGTTCCCTCAGGTCAGTCGTTCACTAGCAGGACTCATGGCACTCAGGAAAGTGCGCATTTACAATCACAGTTTCATTATAAAGAATACACTCAGGGCAAGGCCTGGGAGGGTCCGACAGGGAGCCCCCAGGCCCTCACCCTGCGGAGTCAGGGCCCAGCCCCTCCCGCCACATCAGTACGTCCGCCAACCAGGAAGCGCCCCCCAGTGTCAGTGTCTGGAGTTTCCAGTGGGGCTTCATCACATCTGCACAACTGACTTAATCACTGGCCACGTGACCAAGGTCAATAAAGCCCATCCTGGCTCCCAGTCAACCTTTTATTTACTAACTCTCCACCTAGTCACTGTATTGCAGGCTTGTGAACCCAGGAGCACAATGTGGAACACACAGAAATGGTTTTTGTCCTTTGGAGACTTAGAGTCTGGTGGAGAATGTAGGCAATGAACAAACTGATGAATACCTAAAATTACTAATTATGACAAAGGCTCTGCAGAAAACAATTTGGCCAAACACTTCCAGGACATGCAACGTGCACGGAATAGCCAGACTGGACACATGTGATAAAAGTATCTTCACAGTCAAGTCGACCTCACAGCAGCTTCCACAATTTCAAGCTCGTTTTACCCTCTGAAGCAGCAAAGACTGTACATAAATGCTGGCCTTCGCTGTGACCACCCTTTAACACTGGGAACGATGACCAGACTCTTCTGCCAAAAAAGGTTGGTTCCAGTGTTTTCCACCATTATTTGTCATAAAGATAAATGTGTTAGGATTACAACTCAGCCACGGAGGAGATACTAGATCTAGTCTCTCCCAGCTTCGGTTTTCTCACTGGTGGCGTGGGGGGAATAATGGATACTGTGCAGGGCTGTTGTAAGAACCAGAAACCATGCAACGTGGCACATAGTACCTACTTCATCCCTCAGTGTCCTGTTCTCCTTAGAAATACAAATGAGTAGCTGTCACACTACTTCTAAAATGTGACGTCCAGGATTGGGTACAAGGCTCTAGCCATGACGTCAATGGGACAAAACATCAGGGAATGATTTTGTCCTTGGTGTCGGCAGTGTGCCAGGGAGTGACAAAGCTTTGGACAAATACAACATTTATACTCTGGTGAGACACTCCTACCAGCTAAACTGGTGGCCAGCATCTTATCTACAAGCATATCGTGAAAAAGGGTCAAAGTTTGCTAAAAGTCACTTATAAAGACATGGATGCAAGTGTATACATCTGTAGATCTTGAGCCTGACCGTCAGAAGGGAAATGTATTCTGCCCTGTCTACGGAGTTCTGCTCGCATAGAACACATTGGGTAAGTTTGAACATGAGCTTGGAGCTTGAACCAGTGTCAGGATTTCTGCTCTGCGTGGTACCTGTAGAAGGCGGAGCTGGGGTGGCTGCGTTGACAGTGCCCAGGGTTGTCCACCGCGAGGCCAGCCCGGCCCTGGCCACGGCCCGCTGGTAGTTATCATACAGAGTCTTTCCATACTAGGGAGAAAACACAAGAGAGGCAAGAAGAAAGTCATCTGTTTTTCCTGGATTCTGCACTCAACTGCAATAGACATGTTGAGAGGAAAAAAAGTACTTCCTGCTCCTCTTTTTACTCTTGTTCTGAGTTGTTTTTTAAATGCAGTTGACCTTGAACAATATAGGTTTGAATTGTGTGGATCTACTTATATACGGATTTTTTTGTGTTTTTTCTTCCTTATGATTTTCTTAATACCAGTTTTTTGTCTAGCTTTATTGTAAGAATACAGTATATAATGCTTATAACATATAAAACATGTGTTAATTGGCTGCTTATGTTATTGGTAATTTCAGTCCATAGGTAGGCTGTTGGTAAGGTTTCTGGGGAGACAGAATTTATATTCAAGATTTCTGACTGTGCCTGGTTGGCGCTTCTAGCCCCTGGGTTGTTTAAGGGTCAGTGGTATCAGTATTTCAATAACAAATCCACAGATGGCTTCTTCATGTGTTAAATAATTTTCCAGATTAGCAGAGACAGTTCATACTTTTACCTAGACATTAAAGGAGAGCTTTAGCCATGTAATTCTGGTTCCATATATCTTTATATAATTCTACTCCTCGTGCATGTAATCACACCTCATGTTTCTTAATTACACACGACATTTGCAGTGCTCTCCACAAGTTATTAAATATCTGGAGAGTCTCATGTGAAAGTAAATCCTTGATTCTCAGGTCACTGGAGTGTTTCTATCCCTCTTACCTACTTAAATAACCCAACAGGCAAATAAACAAGATAATGTCGGTGGCATCAACCCACTAATGTCACTGGCCTGTGAACTATGAGTCAAGTGTTTCACAGGAACACAAAGACTGGACCCAGGCAGGAAGCCAGTCGGCAAACTCAGATGCAGGAGAAGCTGGAGTCCACACACTCGCTCACCTTTGCGATCCTTATCCCCGTAACCCACTGGCTTAGCGCTCTTCTGTCGTCGCAGCAGAGGTACTTGATGTACTGGGACTCCTTCTGAATTTGGGGGTGCTGGAAAAAGTTATTTCGGAGACCCTTAGTGAACTGTCCATTAGTGCCTCTCAGAAAGATTTTTTAGAACTTTGAATTTATTGGTGTGACATTGGTTAATAAAATTACAAAGGTTTCAGGTGTATAATTCTATAACATTTCGAAAAAATGTTAAAACTTTGACAATGTATCTGATTTCCTGAGATGGTGGCAAAAATTATTGGGAGTGATTTTAGGATTAGGAAAAGAGATAATTTCAAAATGGACTAAGTTTGGAAAGGATCGAAGAAATCTGGGGCTTCTTCCTATATTATCAATAATAATTCCCATTTCTGCTTTTTCAACTTTTGCAAACTTTCACATCTGTTGCGTTCTGATCCCCATAAGAAATCTGAGCCATTTCTCCAGATGGCTCAGATTGGGGAATTTACCTGATGTAATTCTTATGTCACAAAATTAGTAGTGTTTTTGTGACTCCCAGTCCATCCTGGGTGATTTCTGCTACCAGGAATTATCCTTCCTTAACTGTCATCTCCTACCCAAATGGGCCATTTTGGCCTGGAGAAGGAACAATTCTGTCCAGTCTCAAGTGGCCCTGACTTTGGGTGTTGCACCAGGAATCATCCAGGCTTCCTTGGAGCTCACGGTCAGTGAGAACAGTGATGTGGGCAGACACGAAGGGAAAGAGAGACACAGGTCCCTGGTTCTACATGAATCCTTGCTGTCTTTGTCATTTCTGTTTTATGTCTTTGATGGCCTGTGTGCTCCATGAGGGTGGGAATCACGTCGCATTCACTGCCGAGGACCCTAGAGCTTAACACTTGGCCTGGTATGTGGTCGTTATTCCAGTCCAGAGGTGGAAGTCATTGTTAAAAGAAACAAGGAAGTGCAAGAATTCCTGTTCAGCCAGAAGTCTTATAGCCATAGGCAAGGTGTGGGCAACCAAAGCTAGGTTCTAAGATGTATGCTGTGTGCATTTTCCTGGGGCACTGTAGTTTTTCATTTAGCTTTGTGATGTAGAAAATAATGTTTGTGCACAACCACTTTGTGTGTGTGTGTGCACACGCATGCTACCACTTTTTGCTTCCTCCTCCAGCTCTCAGAGGAGTTCATTAATCCTGCTATCGGGTAAGCATGGAATTGCTGGTGGTGCTGCAGGTGAGATGGGATGCCAGAGAACCGGAAGCCACCTCCCGTGGGCAGGAAGCGGGCAAAGCTGCCCGCTTCTCCCCTCAGGGTATTGCGCAGACCTCCCCACTTCACTTTTGCTTTTGGCTTAATCACTGACTTTCCGGGAAATGGCTATTTTCAAAGTTGACCTAAGCCAAGGGCATTGTGCCTTGAACTTCAGTTTGAATCTGAGAGGCAGCATTCGCACTGGTCACCTTGCTGGTTTACCTAATGATGCAGCAGCGAGAGTCAGTGAGTTGCTGTCTGCGCCCAGAACGGACAAGACCCACAGGGACTCCGTGAGATTGATGAGAGGTCAGTAGTTTTTGGTTTTACCAATGAGAAAACTGAGGCTCAGAGAAGTTACTGTGTATTTTACTCCATGGTCCTCTAGAACCTTGGGATCTCTTGTCCCACCCCCTGGAATTTATGCATTTATATCAAGCTCTTAAGCCAAAATTCCAGACTCTAAAGACACCTCAGAAATATTCAGAAATTGTAAAGAATTCCTGCTTTAGGCCTTTGAGCCATTTGAAAAAAAGTCTAACCTTATACTTTTAGCTTTATATAAATGGGTCGCTTTATGGACATCCCTCGGCCCTTAGAATTTGTGTCAGCGTCACTGGAAGAACATTGAATTTCTATTTATTTAGGTACAACAGGTCCCCTCAAGAGCTCAAAGTTAGGCTCCCTAATGTTGCCTGTAGTTTTCCATTCTGGCCGGCAGATGGCAGCAAACACCTTTGAATGGGTTTTGAATGTGTAACAACTTGGGGTTCAATGCTCCCTCATTAAACTGAACAGTAGATTTTATTTGTATAAATGTTACTCCAAATAAGCATCCTCTTTGGAGTTCCTTAAAATTGAAACTGTCGCTCAACTCAGATAATGTGGCCCAATAGAAAAAAAGGATTTGTTAACACTAATTAATCAGGTCAGTCATATTGATGAAAAATACACTAAGCTGAGGATTTATTCCCTGAATGGATTGTGACATTCCACCAATGCCTTAAGTACTCTCTTCAACCACAAAACTCACAAAACCAAACCAAAGCCTTCTTTCCGCACCAGAAACACAATTCCCCAACTTACAACAACCTTCTTGTTCTGTCATATAAGAGGGGTGAACGCGGACCTTTTCAGCAATGGAATATTTATAATGGTTCTTAGGAAGCAGCGCTTTTTTTTTTTCCTGAGAAGGTAAAAAACTTGACATTGTTCCCTTGGCCTTGCTATCTTAAAAGTCTGGGGTTTTTCTTTCTTTCTCGGGTGCCTGTCCCGGGAGAGCCAGGTCCCAGGAGCAGACTGCAACCGGCCTGTGCTCCCAGCGAACCGCACAAGGCTATGGCCTGTGTAGAGGTGTCCACTTAACCAGCACCATAAACACTCTCATCCAAGTAGGTGACATGCAGCCCTTCCCTTAAACATATGGCTTTGGAGCCTAAAACAGAGGCAAGGCCTCTTGACCTTTAATTCTGACAGTGGCTCCTGCAATGATGAGGAGGTGGGTGTACTGATCTTGCTTCATTTTCTCCAACATTTGTGGGGCGAGTCTCGCTGATTGCCTTAGACCACATGTGTACTACGAACATATACAGCAGAATTCAGCATCAGATGAGCTTGAAGGCCTCTTGCAATCCTCAGATTTAATGGTTCTAAGATGAACTACCGTGGGCGCCAGGCTCCTTCCCAGGTACCAGGGCATCTTAAAGCAAGTCCCTGTGCTGGTCCTCCAGTCACATCTGGGAACCGGGCCAAGGGGATGCTGCCTGACCAAGCCTCTTGTTGAAAAGACATTTGCAAAGCGGTTTAAGGGGAAAAAAACCCTGCTGGTTCAGTACCACTTGGCAGACTCTTCTGCAATCGGGTTGATTGTTCCTGACCAGAAAAAGAGAGAAGCTCAGAGCAGAACCCGGAGGTGGGGCAACTGCAGAATGTTACTGTTAAAAGGGAACTTCCAGGCCCCTAAACTTACAAATGAGGAAACCGAGGGCAGGGAGGGTAAACTACACGTCCACGTCCAAGGAGAGAGGCAGAGCCTGAACTAGAACTGAGGCCCCACACATTCAACACATACCTCTGGGTCCTGGGAAGTATGCCAGCCCCTGAGTAAATACGGATGATGAGTAAGAGAGGCTTACTCATAAGTAGGAAGGGGCCCCCGGGGTTGTTGCTGGGTGGGGGGATACATGTAAACAAATATATGATTACTTAATGACATGGTAAATTTCATAGTGTAAGTTTGAAAGTGACGGCAGAGAAAGGCTCTTTGGAAGAAGTGATGGAATGTTACAATGCGTCTGAGGAACACCTAGAAAGTCTGTGTGGCTAAGGCCTGTTAATGAGCTCAACAGAAGTCAGAGTCCAGGGCCTTGTGTCGAACTTGCCTCTGGACTTGACCTCTAAGCAGTGGGTCCAGCAGACACGTTAAAACAGCAGAGTAATACAGATGGAGCTGCTGGCTCTGTGGAAGGTGGACTGGAGTGAGGAGCAAGAACAGACAAAGAAAAGAGGCTGGATGAGAGAGGTCTCTGACGGAAAATCAGAACTTGATGATGGATTGGACGAGAGAGAAAAGAGAAGAGGCTTCAGGGTTGATTTCTCTATTTCTAGCTCGGAGGAGTAGGTGGGTATTATGGGTTTAATTGTGTTCCCTCCAAAGATATGCTGAAGCCTGAAATAGAATCTTTGTTGATTAGTGTCCTTGCAGGAAGAGCAAAAGCACAGACACGGACAGAAGAGGGCCAGGCGATGCTAGGGGCTGAGAGCAGTGCGGCGCCGCTGTGGCCCAGGAATGCCAGGAAAGGCTGCAAACTGTCAGAAGCTGGGAGGCAGCCACTGCACGGATTTTTCCCTCAGGGCCCTTCAGAAGGAACCAGCCCTGCTAGGGTCTGGATTTTGAACTTCTGGCTGCCTGAACTGTGAGAGAATACATTTCTGTTTTTGTAAGTCACCCAGTTTGTTGTACTTGGTTACAGCAGGCACCAGACACTAATCTAGTGGGTGATGGTACCCTTGGTCTTGAGAGGCCCTGCGGGATGGAGTGGGTGAGGGGAGGTTACAGTCACAGGGCCAGGACTGAAATTCCAGTCCTGGTAGAGCCCTCGGTGGCCTGTCGTGACCTGTGAGCTCATACGGAACAAAAACCTTCTGGGCTGGATGTACTAGTAGGCATGTGTCCATCATGCAGTCTCCTAACATGCCTCTCCATAGTATGAATTCCTTTTGAAAGGTGTGTATGTATTCTTTGTATTTTGTAAATCTGCTTATACTAATGAAATATTCACATATCAAGAATTTTTCAAAATTTGTATTTTTTTCTTTTTTTGGAGAGAGAGGAACGGGTTTTTTTTTTTTGCTAGTGGACAGAAAGGGAAATAAGTGACCAACATGTTCATAAACAAATTAAGTTCTCCAAACCATAATAGAGCCTTATACTCAGCAACTTAATAAAAATTCTCAATATTTTGGGAAGGAAATGATAAACATGCAAATGCGCAAGATAAGCAGTGTGTCTGCTCATGAAGAGATTGGCTTGGAGACAGAACTGCTCATTGTCCTGAGAAAAAAGAAAATAGGTGTCCTGCTGGGGTCCCCTGGCCTTTGTTGGCTCCTCCACCCACGGTGCCTGCTGGCTTCTCCTCTCTGAGCTTCTCCCTCGGTGGGGAGGCCCCAACTCTCTCCTGAAGACACGGGCCTTGGATAGTTCCAGTCCAGCGTCCTGGGTCCCGGCATTGCCATTCATTCTCAGTGACACCCAGGACAACCTGTGTCCCAGTCTTACAAGTCAGCTCAAGCTATGACTCTAGGACCCAGTCCCAAGTGTGTGAGTCAGCACCAGAGACTGACCCCGTTCACTGTGTCTAAAGTCCCTTTTTAGGGACTTCAGTGTCTGGAGTCTCGTCTTTCTCTTGCCAGACATCCCTGCTCCAGCCTCTGGCCCCAGCCCTGGGGTTGGGGCCCCTGCTCCTTCTGACAACTTTCTTCCAGTTTGTCCACTTGGAAGGCTATTTCATCATCAGCTGACCGTCACCGCAGTGCTGATGTTCACAGGTAGGAGACTTTCTAATGCTCTGAGTGCAGAAGCTGACTGTGCTGAGGAAGAATGAAGAATCCTGGGCCCCACCCACAAAACGTTCTGATTCGGTGGGTCGAGGGCCCTGGCACCTGTATTTCTAACAGGCCTCCCCTGACTGCGATTCAGCCAGTTTGCTGACTGGCATTTCGAAATGGCTCTTCCTATCATAGGCTCTTTCCAGACCCTTCTCCCTGCTTGAGAGATGTGAGCAGAGTTTCAGGGATAAAAGTGCCTGGAAATGAGGCCTCCAACTGGGTAGTTTCTCGAGGTCCCGAGATTCCAAACGAGAGCTGTGGCGTCAGATAGGAACATCAGAGATAGGTTCAAAGGCATGAGCAGTGGGGCGCAGTGAGTAAGAGAAGATACTCCGTGCCTAGTAAACGGAGTGTGCGAGAGTGGCGGCCTCTGAGCCAGCACCTGGCTTCTCATTCTGGCTCAGGCTTCTCATCTGTGAACTCTCACCTCACAAGGTTGATAGAAGGATTAAATGCGTTAACCTAGTACAGTCTTAAAACATGCATTCTAGATGCTATATAAGTGTTTGCCATGATTCTCATTACCCTTTTTATGTCAGGAACAGGAAAGGAGGTGCAGGAACCTGAAGTCCGTGGGGCTTCTCTTCACCTTGTCTTCCTTATGACCCCCGATCCCAGCCGGCCCCCACCTCAGAGGGCCTGTTCTCGTTCCTGGGATGGTCCCCTCCAGGTAATTGTTGTTCACTATTTTACTCGCATCTTTTGGTCTAAGGTCAGTCCCTCAGAGAGTCATTCGGTGACCACCTCATCCACAGAATTGCTGGCCCCCGTCCTGGCACATCCACCCCCTACCCTGCTTCACACCCACAGCTTCATTGAGGACCCGGGATAATGCACCCTGACATCACATTACTTTTTTTTTCTTATTGCCTTTTCCCTGTCACTGAAAGTAACCTCCATGAGGTCACGGGTTAGCATGTATCTGGTTCCCTTCTGTATTCCCAGCACATGGGGCAGTGCTTAATAGGTAGCTGGCACTGGAAAAAGAATGAATGAATGAATGAATCTTGCTCTCTCTCGTCCCCCAGTCCCTTTGCAGCCATTGTCCTGGGACCACTCTGTCCAGGGCAGGCTTCTCAGCTGCCCACTGCTGACGTGTACGGGCAGCCACTCCTTCTTTGTGGGGTTGCCTTGCACACCGCAGGGTAATTTGGCAGAGTCATTTGGCCTCTGCTTATCAGATGTAAGCAGTAACAGCCCCGCCCTGGTCGTGACAAACAAAAATGTCTCTAGATGTTGCTAAAGGTCGCCTGGGGGTCAGAATGGCCCTGGTAGAGAAATTCTGAGGGGTGTCAGGCTGATTCAGCTAGTACAGTGGTGATGGTCGTTATTATCTGTATTGAAAGTTGGATGCCGAGTAATGACAAAGAGGACTATGAATGTCTCATTGAAAACTGCACGTTATCCTGGGGCCTCAATGAAGCCAATCACTTCAACCAATTATTTGGTGATGATAATGATGATAACGAATAATAAATAGGAGTAAATGTGCAGGGAAAGGTCACTTAGAAGTCAAAATTATTAAATAAGATTTAGGCCAATGATTGTATTTGACTAAAAAAAAAACCCCAAAACTATCCAGAAAGAAGTTTTTCCCCTGTTTTTTAAAATATTTTCTCTATTTTTCTAGGAAATCTTGTCAATTTCCTAATTTCTAAACACTTCTTACAATGGAGTAGAAGTCCAATAAATAAAGAACTGAAAATTGTATTCAGCATTATCAAAGTTGTTTGAGTGTTGTACATGAAATTTGTTTAAAACGTGGAGCTTTCATTTTCATAAGTGATGAAGAAGCCCAGGCAGATTCATTTTATTTTTTTTTCTTTTTCTTTTTTTAATTGTAATTATTAGGGTGACATTGGTTAATAAAGTTATATAGGTTTCAGGTGTACGATTCCATGACGCATCATCTGTATTTTGTATTGTGTTTTCAACACCCGGAGTCAAGTCCCCTTCCATCACCACTTTTCCCCCTTCTACCAGCAGCGCCCACTCCCTTCCCCTCTGGTAATCACCTTGCTGTCAGACATATTCACTGTAAAGCTTTAGATTCAACAAATAATCCAAACTGTTTTATGGTACATTTATGCAATGGAATTCTATGCAGCAGAAAGAAAGAAGGAGGAGCTCCTACCCTTTGCAACAGCATGGATGGAACTGGAAAGCATTATGCTGAGTGAAATAGGCCAGGTGTTGAAAGACAAATACCATATGATCTCATCTTTAACAGGAAGCCAAACAACAAAACAAACAAGCAAGCAGAATATAACCAAAGACACTGAAATAGAGAACAGGCTGACAGGGACCAGAGGGAAGAGGGGAGGGAATTTCAGGGGAAAAGGAGAAGGATTCACAGGAACAAGTATAAAGGACACATGGACAACAACTAAGGGGGGTGAGAATGGGAGGGAGGTGGGGAGCACTGGTGGGGTGGGCTGGGATGGGAGTAAAAGACAGAAAACTGTACTTGAACAATAATTAAATTAAAAAAAAATAATCCAAACTGGTAGAAAAGTTTCCTCATCTCCTATTTTGGCTTAAAATAAAAAGCTTACTATATTATACTTGAGATTAACTATATAACATTTAACATTTTTTCCTTAAAAGGAAATATTAACTAAAATTGCTTACAGCTATAAAGAACTTCTCACACCATACCTTTAGAACAAAGCAGTAGTCAGTGGGTGCTTTGTACTTCATTTTACACTGAATCCCATAGTAAATGTTGACATTTTCAAACTGTATAAAGCATGCCAGGTCTCTAGATGTCTGAAAGAGAAAAAAAAATAACCTCAACACAGCTGACAGTTAATAGTTTCTCCAAAGTTGTTCTTGAGGGTACGACCAAGGATGACATTTCAGTAGAAAAATAATGAATTTTATGCAATTTATTGAAGCATCTACCATGTTTAGTTTTCCAAAAGCCAAGCCAGTGTCTTAAGAGGTGAAAGAATTCACCCAAGATAAAAAACCCCGCATGTCACAGGCTGGGAAGTGGCGTGAACATTCCGCTCCGTTCTGGTACCTGCACGTGGACTCCCAGGCTCAGAGCTAATTGGCTGACTTTGAGACATCGTTGTTGATACAGTCAAGACAAGGTGAGCGCCACCTCTTAAATAGTGAAACATTTCCTCCCGAGATTGATAAAATCCATCAGAAATTTCATTCTGACTTTTGCCACTCTAAGTCAGTGATGGATTTCATGACTGAACATTAAGAAAAAGATGTCCCCTTCAGGAGGAACAATGAGAGGTAAATCTGATGTTCAGTAAATTAGCACACACGTCATGCATTTATTTCTTCAGGAGGAAGAAAGGTTCCTTTCAGCTTTCTCTGTGAGGGCTGATGGTGTTGCTATGGAAACAGAAACCTCTCCTCCATGTATAACATGCATTGTGAAGACTGCAACCTCTAATCTACATATTTGGTTACACTTCAATTAGAAATTTGTTCTCCCCCCATCGCATTGCATAACTCTCTACCTAGTTAGTGAACAAAGAGTGAAGGGCAGAATTGCTTCATCTTAGCACACAATTATTTCTTTATTTATGGTTGTTCGATTTTTTTGTATGATGTTTTCTTCTGGATTTTCAAAGTTTTAACTTTTTAATTAGAAAAGTAAAATATATTAATCATTATTTAAAGAACAATTCACATATACATATATAATAAAGT